CTCACCTTACCATATTAATAAAAAGTGTGCCGTACTTGGCCCTTCCCCTCTTCAACCATTATATATACGGAGTGGTAGCTCTTGTGATCTCTCATTTACTTGATACAGCCGTCGTGGCTGTGACGGTTCCACCTGAAGACGGAAGCTTGTGTTGCCTCCGAAACGTCGTGATTTTTATTTTATTTTACTTTTATTAATTTTAATTTTTTTACCTACGTGACTTTACCGAAAAAACCTAAGAATATGAAAAAACCTAAGAATATCGCGGTAGCAAAGTTCACAGGGCCGTGGCCTAAAGTGACGTTTTGTTTCCGTGGATTTATCTGCGGACGATTAAATCCTCCCTTGGAAACGTTGCTGAGGCAGCTGCTGCTGTGGTCCACTGGCTTTTGAAAACATCCACATTGGTAATAGGTGGGGAGCGGGTGGGGGATGGTGGAGATGAGAATGAGGGGATGGCAATGAATCTGCTTCTCCAGATCAGATTCCAAATGAAATAATTTGTCATGTTTATATGAAAGTGGGTTATTGCTTTTTCTCCATGCAATATTAAATAGATGAGATATTGTTGTGAATTAATTTCGGCCAAACCAGTGATTTTGTTTGTATTCGCATCTATGTGTGTGTGCATTTATAGTATCATCATGCATATGTGCATTATACTGTACATAAGGGAAAAGTAAAAAAGTGATTAGCTCACTGCACACCCGGTAACCCGAGTTTAAGTCCTTGCAACAGTTTACATGACCGGCAAATTATTTAAAATCAGTGGTACCGAACCCCACTGAAACCAACTTGGACTGACCAGTGCGGCGAAGTATGGTCGACAAACACGTGACCAACACGACATAGGGATGCCTTCAGCCAGCAGTCGATTGACTACCCATAAGTAACATGCAAAGATACACGGGGACAATTCACCCAGAGTGTTGAGGCAAGTGCTGTCATTAGACGGCTGTTCATTGCACACGAGCGGTGGTGTGGCCAGAACCATGCAGAGCCACCTTTGTCTCCCCAGTGCTGATGCTCGCACACTGCATCAGGCAATCATTTCAGGTTGAGTTGATCTCGTGGACACCCGGGACAGGTTCAGATACCACCTGCCACTCGTGTTCTACATGGCCAGGAATTCAACTGCCTCGCTAAGCGTAGTCATATCGATATATTATTGAATCTTTCTGCGTGGAGCTTGATGAGTTAACCTTGCTACCAAGTGGCTTTTCACTAGGTATTCAAATTTCCTCCCACGTGCCAAAAACTCAAATTGTCGGCATTGGCCACCGCATCCCAATGCAGGGCCCTCCGCCCTCCTGATCTAAGAGTCCTGAGAGCCTTGGTGAGCTTTTTCTCTCGTCACCGTTATTAATTCTGCACGTCAGTATGCGCAGTGCGGCATTAGACGTCGGAACACGCTTTTCACAAACCGCGCGGACGCAAGACAAACATTAATACTTGAAAGATCATTGCCTCCATGTCGGGCTCTGCACATTAAAATAAATAACAGCGTAAAGAAGTCGGCGGGCCACGATTGCCAACCGCCGGGATTGCGTGCGCTCAATCTCCCGTCCTCTGGCGAGGAATTAGCGCAGTCCCATCGTGACTGACCCACTTTCCTCGGGGGTCACGAGTTCAAGTCTGGCTACTTACGGGGGCCCACACCCTTCCTCCGCCACAGGCAAGCTCTCTTCCGCAGGGTGGAGGGTGGGGGGGCAGGAAAGGAAGCAGAAGCAAAGTGGAAGACTGAGACGAATCTCTCAGGGTGCCTAAGTGCACTTGCATTATTATCACGTGTGCCCCGGTGTCCTTGTGTGGTGGGCATCTGACGGTTGCGTGCGCGCGCGCGCGCGTGTGCGGTCGAGGGAAAGTGGTAGGGAGCGGTGGTGCCGCGGTTAGCGCGCCGAGCTATGAATCCGGTGACCCGAGTTTGAGTCCCAATCACGGCCACCACCAACACCAGTGACGATTATCTGAACTGGTCCTAGGCCGTCCAGTAGGTTGCACTTAGCCTCAAATGAGTTCCTGGTGCGGTGTGTAAACTTCAACACTGGGGAGACAAAGGCGGCCGGGAATGGTGCTTGCCCACTCTCCTCGTGTGCCGTGCCGGCCTTCATAGGTGCTCGCTAACAGCACTTGCTCGAGCAGTCTCTTAAGGCTACACGGGGGATCTTTTTATTTGGTAGAGCGAAAGGGATGGTTTCCTTTGTACATTATTCATGTTGCTCAGATGCCTCTCATGTGTAAGGAATAAAGGAAATGAGGATGAAATTATAAGGCTTGGAAAATTACAGCATCTCTTGGTTAACCTACGTGTTCCCGCATGGGTTTTCAAGAATGTAAATAGAACCTGACGAAAATGATTGCTGAGTGGAGGGAGTCTGTCGGTTTTTTATTTGCTTAATGGTATGATTAATTTCCGTATTACCATTTAGGCTCGCTCATTGGACACTTTGATATTTGCGAACCGCTGAGATGTTAATATTTTAACTAAAGGGCGAGTGTGGAAATGGGAAGTATTAGCAGGCAGTGCCTTTGAAACGAGGAACTCGCATTCGCCTTTGGGATTATCTTCAGATGCGGTCCAGTTTGCATGTTTTGCGAGCATTCGTCCGGTCTTCCACCTCCCGTGCCTGCACCTCGAGTCTTGGATCCGCATTTCCCACCTCACCCCCCCCCCCCCCCCGTAAAGTCTCTAGAGAAGCACTGATAGCCTCTTAGAGTCTGCACGTTTACGCTGCTGCTGTTCTTGTCATTGCCGAGTGACTCGGCTCTCGTGCGCGTGTCGCTCGTCACGATCTCGATCCGACCCGAATTCGGTTCCCGCGAAAGCTCTCCCAAGCACGTGGAGTGGAACGTCGGACATCACGCTCCGATCACCACCTGGTTCAACCCCAAATAAAAACACGCACATTGGAGAACCTCCCTTGCGACGTCGATTGAAAGCGCCATTCCGCAGCCTCACGTCGGGCAACACGCACACAGAACCAATACGCAAGATTCTTTTTTCTTTACAATTTTGCTTCAACGGGAAGCTCATGTATGTATGTTGAAATGTTTTCGTACTGGACAACAAACTAAACAGTTCTAAAAAAAATTGTTTTGAATCTAGATGTCAAAGTGCACAGCTCCAGTGACACCCTAATATCGTTAGGAAGAGCGTTCCAGACGGCCATTCGAGCTTAGCGGTCACCTCCGGGGGGGGGGGGGAGGAGGCAGTGGTGACGCGAGACGACCGTGCGCGAGACTTGGACATGATGCGACATCCTCGCGTCCTTGAGGCGTTTCACAAAGAGTGATTTTTTTTTGCAGCGGTTCCTTTCAAAAGTGGAAATAGACGCGAAAAGACAAAGGCTCGAATTAACTGAGGCTTACGGGATTAAGGATATCAAGTAGAAACTGGGTCACCAGGTGAACCATAATCCACCGGCTCATTTTCGTCCCGCGCATTCTTCAAAGGGTCCACGATGGTCAATTTCAATTAAATATCTTGCTTTGCCACGCATTTATATTGATAGTGATGCAAGCAATTAGCGACCTGCTCCCACGCAGCGGTGGAAATGAGCGAAGGCCAGAGGGGGGGGGAGGCAGTGACTTTGAAGGAGGCTAGGACACGCCGGAGGTGTGAAGGGCGCATGTCAGAGCAAACACAACACACACACACAGACAAAGCGCCACCGTAGAGCCCTAACAGACTGTCGGGGCAAGTGCTGTTAGTGAACGCATATGGGGCCGTCTATAAATGACGTCACGCACCTGGGGGGGGGGGTCAGATTTTTGTGACAATGTGTGACGACGGGGGGGGTTGAGAAATGTGACGTCACATCAAAATGCGCAACTTTAAATTTAGAATTATTATAACAACATTAATTGTTATAACAACACTCCTACAACATCAGAGTGCAGCGCCATATTAAATACGCACTACAATGACAATATTTTAAAGCGATTTGAAGCATTTGTTTTTTTTGGGAGGGGGGGGGGCAGAGCTTTGTGACGTCAAGCAGGGTGTAGCACGTGCTAGGTGTTCGTTTCTGATTTTTAAGAATATCATGTTTTGGGGTTTTAAGGACAATTTTTATTGTACAATTTCCTTATGTACTAATATAATATGGTTAAAGTTCAGTTATTTGGTGTACAAATTGATAATGATAATAATAATAATCCAACAATATCCGGTGTGCGACTACGGTCATCCATAACAGACCATGGAACAAATAAGGACTCGATGCCCCGATTCATGAATACGAAAGAGGCATCACCGCAGCGACACCACTCCGCTACTACTGACTCAATCGTCTGGCTCAACCACCCCAAATGCCAGCTCTCCATCAACAGCAGGCGCACAAAGAATTAAAATGTCTTCACGCTCACAATAGTGACGTCACCCGATGCCACGTGACACCGCCTTGGGTGGGAAAAGTGGCACGTGAGTTCATGGACAATCTTTGTCTTCGCGTGCAATCGGTCCGCGTTTATGTTCGCGCGTTGCGATGGCACTGGTTAGCATGTCCGGCTACAAAGCGGACGACTCTAGTTCAATTCCCTGCTCACGACCGATCCTGGGCCTCCCCTTGGTCGACAAATGAGTACCTGGTGGAGTGTGTAAACATCAGCATTGGGGAGACAAAGGTGACCGGGCGTGATGCTGGCCACCCACCGCCTCGTGTGCCATGCCAGCCTTCGTAGGTGCTCGCTAAGAACACTTGCCCCAACAGTCTGAATGTTGAAGGCTATCCGGGATATCTTTATATGTCAGAATCAGAATCTTTATTAAGACTGCGGGAGGAATCCGATGAGCTAGGAAGCTCTTGTTCACAGATGTCCTGTATGGTCGGGTCAGCAAGTTACAACGGCAAAAAATACGCAAATCGGTAGGACTGCAACATCGAGAAAATGCTAAGCTAGTAACTAAATTTGAATGAATAATACATCATTTAATTATACATGTCCTAAAATTATCAGCATTGTGTGTGTGTGCGCTTGCGTGCGGTCGTGGCTGTCAGAACTCGGAGAAGCTGGAGCGGCAGCGCAGCTGTCTGCGCGACGAGATCAAGCAGTACAAGGTGCGCGAGTCCCGCCTGCTGCAGGACTACGGGGAGCTGGAGGAGGAGAACATCTCGCTCCAGAAGCAGGCCTCCACCCTGCGCCAGAACCAGGTGAGCCCCCGCAACTCGACGCATCTCTCCTGCCTCCTGCCGGAGGCGTGGTGGAGTGGTGGCGGGGTGGAGTGGTGGAGTGGTGGAGTGGTGGAGTGGTGGCGGGGTGGAGTGGTGGAGTGGTGGCGTGGTGGCGTGGTGGCGTGGTGGAATGGTGGAGTGGTGGAGTGGTGGAGTGGTGAATTGGTGATGTGGTGACGTGGAGTGGTGGAGTGGTGGAGTGGTGGAGTGGTGGAGTGGTGAATTGGTGACGTGGTGGCGGGGAGTGGTGGAGTGGTGGAGGGGTGGAGTGGTGGAGTGGTGGAGTGGTGGCATGGAGTGGTCGCGTGGTGGAGTGGTGATGGGGTGGAGTAGTCGCATGGTGGAGTGGTGGAGTGGTGGAGTGGTGGAGTGGTGGCAGGGTGGAGTGGTGACGTGGTGAATTGGTGACATGGAGTGGTGGCGTGGTGGTGGGGTGGAGTGGTAGCGTGGTGGCATGGTGGCGTGGCTGGCATCGGTCCCCGAGTTTCCCGCTGTTGAGTTCCTGGGTTTGATTTTGGAGCATAGTCAGTTGATAGGTTCAGCCCGGTCCAGATGCGGATCGAGAATTTCCCTAAGGGAAGTGCGGTCCCACAGGAACTATATAAATAATTCGACATGTTTTGTCTGCTAAATGTCAATAAAATACCAATTTATTTGGGCCTCAAGGGGCAGGGTTTTTGTATTCTCTTAGTGTGGAGAAATTTCATCTCAAAGAATTAAAAAGTATGACTGTAATACTCTGCAGCAGGGTGGATGGGAAATTACTTCCCACTATCTTGTGGACACGAGGGCAGCACTAGAAGGGATCTCAGAGGTAACTCTGTGATATCCACTTTAGCGGTCTGTTCCATAACACGGGGAGGCGGACGCTTACTACTTTTTGAGAGAGTTCTGAATGTATCCTTTGTCTCATGATGTGACGCCAATAGCATTATAAGTAAAATTTTGGTTGGCCAACAAAAAAAACTATTAAAATAATATATATATTTTTCCCATTACAGAAATCTTCAAACTAATATCACCAAAGCGTGTAATAAATGTTAGGCTCTGTAAAGCAGAAATCTGGCGTATTTAGAAAAGCCACGGTCCTTTGAGCCAACAAAATTCAAAACTCATCACAGATATATTATAGTATGCACAGCCATTTCCCAGGACACCTCCCTGTTAACGCCTACCACAGCTTGGAGACGTATCTACAAGACAAGAGCCACTTGAATTTTGAGTCGCATCTTCATGCAAGTCACGGAGCGGGGGGGGGGCACGCCCGCTGGTGGTGATCATCAGCAAGCAGCTGGCTCAACGCAGCGGCCACATGGCCACTGAACCTCCTCCGATTTGCACGGTTGGCTTTGTGTGGTGTGAAAGAAGTTCAACAAATATACATACACTGTCACTGTGACACTGCCTTCCCGTTCAAGATTTCCCGAAGGCGTCCGTTGCCCCCCCCCCCCCCAACCCGCCAACCGCTGGCTCGCGAGACACGGAGAGGGAATGGGACAATCAATCGAGAGACCACACCAGCCGAAGTGACCGAGATAAGACTTAACGAGTTATTGAGCCAGCGGTCACAGGGCTCGCCGGCGGCTTATGGGAACTCGTGAATTCGCGCGCGTCGGAAAACGAGGCAAGAGCGTCAAGTTTCTACCACGGTAATGTTTTGCCGCCGTTGTCCACATCTCCGGGAACGCGTCAGACCGCGGGAAGCTATGCCGGGTTAAGGCTGCACGGTGCTTGGGTGGGCGACCACCGAGCATACACCGGGCGTAGGCTCGCAGGTTCACGGAGAGGCAGTGCGGCAAAATCCATTGCTCATACCGACATATGCTCTTGTATCTATGGCTCCTCTGCCTTCGCCAACCTGCACTGACCAGCTTGGTGAAATATGGTCAAATAACCTGCACGACCCAGGGGGTCCTCATCCAGCAGTAGGATTGATAAAGGGCTGTTCAATGCAATAAATATTTTGCTATTTGGTTTACAAGTTGGACGTGTAACTAGCAATTTATTGGGTCAGTGAATTCGATTATCACAGTCGCGTGACGGAAAGCATTAAGTGTGTCACACGTGTAGCCCAGTTGGCTTTAGATGCATTGCACCTGAACATGTAGGCCACGTTAACCGTGAGAAACTACTGGAATATAAATGCTTGAAAAAAACACACACATTGCCCTTCTGTAGCTAGAATTTCCCACACCAGCCCCGTGAAGTCAGAGGGGGCTCCATTCGTGTGTTGCCGAATGATGGCGAATGATGGTGATGAGATATTCATCTGCAGCATCTTCAAGCGGAAGCTCCGCACTGCTTGTCGACGCGGAGATGAGAACCTTGGCAGAGTCTAAACCGCGTGTCGACAAAACGTCACCGCCGTGTTACGGGAAAAACGTACCTCGATCAGTGAACCGTGTATATCCGAGACACGCGTTCAATAAAACGGCGTTGGGCAAGCTTTAAATGTTTTTTTAGTTTGTTTTCCTGTGGGCCTTTCTGTAGATTTGGGGCCTGGCCCAACGTCCTGTGTAGATCTCCGACGTTGTTTTAAGGCTGTGACGTCCGTCATTTTTGCTCCATGTGCTGGAAGCTTCTTCCCGGCACGTGGACCAAAACGTCGGACATCGTGCCGAACGACACGCGCAGATCAACCTGACAAAACACATCGGGGAGCCACACAGCGCAGCCACTAAAACCAGCGTAGGAGTAAATATCCCGGGGCGAGGGTTGGTAGATCACACGGTTCCACGAATCTCCTTGCCCATAGGTGTCGAGGTCGCCCTCTTCTGGCTTTCCAGAGTATGGCAGTACAGCAAGTGGGTTAATTCCAGCTATATGGGCGTTGTCGCCCCCCCCCACCCTCCTCCATATGTTTATTTTTCTCTGGGTACTCCAGTTTCCTTCCACCCGTGAGTGAAGTCGGTCCAACGTCCCAATGTAGCACCACAGAGCTTGGGTCATTGTTGGCGGCGGTTTTGGCTGCCTTCTTGTCCGTGGTTTCCCGCTGCCTCCGAATCGATCTCTCCGTCTTCGAGAGCGAACGAAGCGCCGTGGTGGCGAGATGTTAACTACCTCGCCTGGTGTACAGGAGGTCATGGGTTCAATCCCGACCCTGGCGCCTGCTGCTGTATATTTGGAGTTTGCATGTCTCTTTCTCCCCGTGGTCGCGTGGATTTTTCTCCTCGTCCTCCGGTTTTTCCCTCCACATTGAGAATCGACGTGGGTTCAGAGTATTGTGCTGCTGCTATAAATTCCCACGTGATGAAAAGCCACTTCCGTTGAGCTGCTGTCATTTGTGGCCAGGTCGCTTCGGAAAAAAGAGCTACACAGCTCAAATGGGCCTTAGCCGGTCAAAGAAAAAAAAACTGTGAATCGTATTTTAATAGTGGTGGTCGCTGGCACGCACCGCACGCGACCGCAGGTGGAGTTCGAGGGGCTCAAGCACGAGATCCGTCGCCTGGAGGAGGAGACGGAGTTCCTCAACAGCCAGCTGGAGGAGTCCCTGCGGCTCAAGGCGATCTCCGAGCGGCAGCTGGAGGAGGCGCTCGAGACGCTCAAGTCGGAGCGCGAGCAGAAGAACGCGCTGAGACGCGAACTCGGAAACTACGGCTCCGTGGCCGGAGGCGGCGGCGCTGTGGAGGTCATCCAGGGCCTCTTCTCCAATGGTCACCACCACCACCAGCAACAGCAGCAGCAGCAACCTTTAGGGTGAGCAACTGGTCACTTGGGCAGACTTTTGTACGTTCTACTCCTTCGCAGTGGCGTAGCTAGGATATTTTGCGCCCGGGGACGAACTATAAAATTGGCGCCCCCCCCCCCCCACCCGTTTAATCACATACCAAAATGTAATTACATGACATGTAGGCTGTGTGTGGCGGGATATATAAACTTTTAGGTCGAGGTGTAGATTTGTGCAGTAGTTTCAGGCTGCCGCCCCCGCCGCAATAAGTTATAATGTAGCGTTGTAAGCCTCATTTTGTGGCGCCCCTTTACCTTGGCGCCCGGGGACACATGTACCCCCTGCCCCCCCCCTAGCTACGCCTCTGCTCCTTCGTAGGTGTTCTTACAGCTCTCCAATGTGTTTCTGTTGTTTTCCAATTTGTTGTTCAGTATGATGCCTGCCCACCGTTTGCTCCGTGGGGTGGAAGCTTCTTCGGTTTTGGAGCTTCGGTTCCTTGAGGCAGAAACGTCGGACATCATTGTCGAACGTCGACACGTGGCAGCAATCCGGAAACACGTCGGAGAGTTGTTCACGTATCCTGCACGTATGGGAGATTCTCACGGCAGGATTATTATTGGTGTTAATATTGTTTACCCACGAAAGCCTCACTGAGTCTCAAGATTCGTGTGCAAGGGGGTCCTGCCAAGTTATCACAGCAGGGGACGATGATTGCTATATTTAAAATTCAATCGAATAATATTTCGAGTAATTTTTCAAATTTGGCAATCTGGATCCTGACGCTGGCACCGACTGGTCTACGCTCGCGAGTGACATCGCGTGATCTTTAACGTCCGCTATTAATAATCGGGGTGACCTGCTTAATTTGAACCGAGAGCCTCTACAACAATCGACGAGGTTGGGACTGACCGTCTGGTGTGGATGGTGAAGTGTTTGGCTCTCGATGTGAATATTTGTAGGTCTAAGGATCTCTATGTCAGTATTTGAGTCTCTTCAAAATTGTCTAACAATAACAACGATTTATAGCACCTTTGTCGATCCACCGCTGGACCTTGAAGTTTCTTAAATCCTCGCGCCTCTGTCCACCCAGCAGTCCAAACGGTGACACTGCAGTGAGTCGATCAGCTGACGGCGTGTGTTGGGGAAAAGTCTTCGGTACCCCCCATCTCTTCTAAGACATCTGGCCGTGTGGAAGAGCAGGCCAAAGACCCCGTTTAGATGAGCTAACGCTCCTTCTCGTGGAGGCTCTTCCACTAGCGATGGCGTGCGCGTGCGGCGGCAAGGGCCGTGCCGTCTGCGGGGCGGTAACTCGTATGGCCAACCGAAATGGCAACCGACAGTCGCCTCCCAGGCGAAGGCAACAAACCGGACGTCGCTGTTAATTTCATCGGCTCGTTTTCCTGCCTCGTTTCTCCTCCTCCTCCTCCTCCGTCGTTGCCGCCGTCGTCCCAACGCCAGGATATCGGCTCTGGAGCTGAGCTCGGCGCTGGTTGGTGACCCGTCGCCGGCGGAGGAGGACGCGCCGAACGGCGAGGGCCCCTCCCTCAACGGCCACGACGGCCGCAGCAACGGCCATGCCGAGGGCACCGACGCCCCGGGCGATCAGCGCTCCTCGCCGGCGCCCAGCCTCGTGTCGGATCTGCTGAGCGAGCTGAGCTTCAGCGAGATGAAGAAACTGCAGCAGCAGCTGTCACAGGTGGGCGACTCCGCCGCCACGGCAAGTCAAAGCGAGATCAGTTGGTTAGAATCCACGAGGCTTTCGGATGCCCCGAGATTACACCGGCTCTGGGGACAAATATAGAATTATTTTGTTAATAAGTAGCTGGAAAGCACAGAAGTCACAGAGCTGAGCTGGTACCACACAGAGATCCTGGGTTTAGAATCAATGCATCGGATAAATTTAGTTTTTCAATTAATTTGGCTTACTCCAGCTCGGCAAATTAAAGTGTTTTTTTTCTTCCCTCCCATGGGACGAACGCTCTTTGCAGGGCATGCCCTGAGATCCAGGTCCCCATTGAAGCCGCATTTCCATCCAGTTCCGTAACATCGTCTTACGAGGCCCATCCTCTGGCAGCAGGGTGGTGCGCCGCTAGCAGCGAGTGGGGGGTCATGGGCTGGGAGCGGTGGGGGGAGCATAACATAAAAGACCTCGCCCGCGTATCGTTCGGCGGGGTGACGTTCTACCCGCGCGTCTCGTCCGCAGATGGAGAAGGAGAAGGCCTCGCTGCTGCTCAACCTGCAGGAGTCGGAGAAGCAGCTGGAGCAGACGAGGGGCGTCCTCTCGGAGCAGCACGAGCGCGTGAGCAAGCTCGCGGAGCACGTGCAGTCGCTGAGCGGAAGCGGCGCCGCCGCCGACGGCGCCGACGGCGGCGGCCAGCAGCAGCAGCAGCGGCGGCGGCAGACGGACGCGGCCGACGCGGCGTCGCACGAGTTCGGCGCCCTGGTCGCCGACCTGGCCCGGCTGCAGGAGGACCTGAAGAGCTCGCGAGCGCTCGGCGAGGAGTACCGGGAGCTCTTCGACAAAGAGCGGACGAGGCACGAGCGCGAGCTGGTTGCCGTCGGAGAGAAGCTGCGCTCCCTCGAGCGGGAGAACCGGAGCCAGCGCGAGCGCAAGCTGGGCCTCGAGAAGGAGGTGCAGGGCCTAGCGGCGGCCGCGGCCGAGAGCCAGGGCAGCCTGAGCGTGGCGCAGGAAGAGCTGGTGACGTTCACCGAGGAACTGGCCGGCCTCTACCACCACGTGTGCCTGTGCAACAACGAGACGCCCAGCCGCGTCATGCTCGACTTCTACAAGGACCCGAGGAGCCGGCGCTCGCCGACGCCGGCGGCCAAGGACGCGGAACAGCCGGTCGGCGGTGGCGGCGGCGGCGCTCCGCTCCGGCGCGGCGAAAAGGGCGCCGCCGTGGCGACGGACCGCCCCGCGGCGGCGCCGTCGCCGACCGCCGAGCTGCGCCGGGAGCCGATGAGCGTGCACAGCCTGGTGTCGGTGATCCGCGACCAGGTGCACCACCTGCAGCGCGCCGTCGAGCGCTCCGCGGCGCTGTCGCGGCAGCGGGCGCGGGCGGCGCACGACGCCGCGCCGCCATCCGGCGACCGCGAGGCGCTCATGGAGGAGATCCTGAAGCTCAAGTCGCTGCTGAGCACCAAGCGCGAGCAGATCGCCACGCTGCGCACCGTGCTCAAGGCCAACAAGCAGGTGTGCGCTCGCCGCTCGCCCACCCGCGATTGTCTGCACCGGTGCTCGGGCCTCTCCTGAGGTCGAATCGATCCCAGAGAGCGCCTGGCGCAACGTGCAAAACATCGCCACCGTGCGCCGTGTCAGCCTTCGTGAGGTGCTCCGAGCCGTTCCCGCTCCCCGCTTCTGACCCACCTGCTCCCGTGACCTCTGCCCCGAATGACCCTGGTGTCGTGACCCCCCACTCCCCACTCCCCGCTCGCCCCTCCCCACCACCACAGACGGCCGAGGTGGCGCTGGCGAACCTGAAGAGCAAGTACGAGAACGAGAAGTCGATGGTGGCAGAGACGATGATGAAGCTGCGCAATGAGCTGAAGGCGCTGAAGGAGGACGCGGCGACGTTCTCCTCGCTGAGATCCATGTTCGCCACGCGGTCCGTCCCACCCCGCGCCCCGTGGCCAGTAATCCCTTAGATTGGTTCGTTTTAGTTGAAGAAAGAAAACTCGCGGAGATCCATGGTACGAAAGGATCACTTTAACAAACCAGCAAACTGATGCCGCCCTAACGCAGCCGCTTCCTTGCGGAGGGTCCCTGGTAAACCGGCGCTCTCGCCGTCGCGATGGCTTCGGTCTGTCGCTTCGCGGGAGGTCTCAGCTTTCGCCACGTTTGTGCTGGCCCCGCCCCCCTCCCCGGATCTCGCGCTCACCCTTTTGTTCCTCCGCCCCTTGGTCTCTCGCCCCGTGCGTCCGCAGGCAGAACGCTCCGCGCCACGCCTTCGGTGTGTGTCCGCTAGGGCGCGTACCCCCCACCACCTCGGCCGCGCTTCTCTCGTCTCGTCATTGATTGCTTCTACCTCCATCGTCTCTCGAATCTTCTTATTTATAATTTTCCTTGCTATTGCTTTTCCTAAGGCTCACCCTTAATATTGTCATATTCTCATTTCCGCTGCGGGTAACATCCGTCTTTGCAGCGCCCTTGCATTCAGACCCGTACATCACGGCTGGTCTAAACCACGCTTGTAAATCGTGCTATTCAATCTCACAGGCGTCCGCTTACAACGAAGATTTTCTGTCTCTTACCCACACGCTCCACTGTGAGATTGGCATTCGTCACGTGCCAGTGAAACCCGTGTTAGTAGCCAAATGCAATTAAAAATAACATTTAAATGTGGGCTTGTTGTGCAGTCATTGGTCAGCCAAACTGGGAACCCGGTTTAATCGCAGGCGGCTTCTTGGGTTTGAACTTGGGTTTTTCAATCCCAATGAAAACAACTGGTAAAAAAACCGCTTCCAATTTGCTGCACATATAGATAAACATCACATGTATTCTACCTTATTAACCGAGAAGCGTGGTGTAATAATTAGCACAATGGTATTACTATCCAGCCTGGAAGAGTAGACCAAATACCCCCTAGAGATTCCTCTCATTGGAAATCCTTCCGCCGGCAGTGGCATGAGTAAACCAGCAGCAATCACACGATTGCACCGTTGCTTTTTAACTGAGAAATTACGGCAAAATGAACCACGAGGTTTGCACATTCGCTCGTTGCAATCAGTGCGTTCGTTGTCAAACTTTTAATGGAAACTGTTAACAGATTCCTGAACACTGCGACTGGTAACCTATTATAAAAACGGTTACTGGGTTGTCATTTGACAAACCTAGTTTGAACCCAGGATATAAGCGGTTCTGGTTCAGCACTCTGACCCCTGAGCCACCGGGCCACCTCGAGAAAATGGGAAATTAAGTCTTTTAAAAAATCCATCTTCCTCTGATGGCTTTGTGTGCATAAGTTGGTAACTGGGCCAAGACCGTTAGCTCGCTACGCTTGAGGAGCAAGTTAAGCCCGTCGGGTTTCAAGGCCAATATGATTCACAATACGGTAAAATAGTAAAAGGGTAAAAAAAAACAATTCCTTATTTTTTTCACACGGTAAATTACGTCGTCCGACAACCCTCCTCTAGTCGACGGATCGATTCATCGGCACGTCCCGATGTCCCGCTGCCGCTCAACGGTTCACCGCGGGCTCGCTGCGCGGCTCCACGCTCGCGGTGCCGGATCGCGGTCGACAATCGCCGGGCGCAGAATTTCAAGATTTTGGACATTGGACCAATTGATATAAATTATCAAGAAGGCGTAACTTTTTTGTCACTCTGCCAACGGCCCGTCCTGTAAAGGCTTCCCCTTGGCTTGGTTAGGAAGTCGGGATTATGGTCTGGGATGTGTAGTAGTAGGCCTCGTAGTCGGGTTTTAATTTGCTTGGTAGTGCCTGTATATGGTATTTGGTCCTGATATACAATTAATAAATAGCGTTATGGGATCGCTATAAAACTAAACTTTAAACGTTTTTTTATTTTACCAAATAAGGCCCAATGACCTCTGCTGCTCTTTTTCAGAAGCGACCTGGCCACAAATGATAGCTCAACCAAGTGGCTTGTCCCGTGAAAATTTATAGCAGCCAAATACTCTAAATGCATGTTTCTCAAAGTGGAGAGAAAAACCGGACCTGGAGAAAAATCCATGCAACCACGAGGAGAGAGACACACAAACTTCAAATATACAGACATCAGGGTTGGGATTGAACCCACGACCTCTATGCACATGAATGACGCTATATAAAATGAAAATATATTATTATAATTAAGAAGCGATCGATTTAAAAAAAAAAATGTTGACGAGCGGCCCGGCGTTTCCCCCCGCAGGTGCGACGAGTACGTGTCGCAGCTCGACGAGATGCAGCGCCAGCTGAACGCGGCCGAGGACGAGAAGAAGACGCTGAACTCGCTGCTGCGCATGGCGATCCAGCAGAAGCTGGCGCTCACGCAGCGCCTCGAGGACCTGGAGATGACGGACGTGGACGGCTCGCGGCGCACCCGGGCCCGACCCCGCGTTGCTGCCGGGTCGACCGCCGCAGTCGCCGCGTCGCACTCCAAAGTAAGTCCGTCGCCGACGCCGACGACGGCGGCGGCGGCGACGCTGCTGCGGCCGCCCCCGGGAGTCGCGCCGCTGCCCGGCGCCGGCCGGCTGGGATCGTCCGTCCGACATCCGGCGCCCGTGGCGTCGAGCTACGGCAGCCAGTGAAGGCGGCGTCGCGAGTCGCGACGCGGGATGCGGCCGAGGTCGGCGGGTGCTGGTGGGGTGGGGGGGTAGCGGGCACGCGCTACGGTGCGTCATCGGTCCGCGGGTCGAAAGTCGATTCTCACGCGCTGCGACGCGTGCGTTGAGTCGTGCGCGTGAGAATCGTGATATCTTTCTGATTTGTGCGAGTAATAATGATATGCAAATTGCATGCTAATGTGGCCATTGAAGAGAACAAAACTGTACGAACGAGACAAAAGAAAATAAGAAACGGGACGAACGAAATGGTAAAAATGATAAAACAAAAATAATTAATTCTTGAATAGAATTGTGACCCCTCCCCCACCACACCCCCCTGTTGGTTGACATTGCGGGGTGGAGAGATGAATCGTTACATGCCTGGTTAGTGGTGGGTAGTGACGCTGTAACTGAAGGTTGAGCTCTGTTATTATGTTAACCGTCGAAGATGCCCGCGCCCTATTGGCCTGTACGAAATAAGAGCCGACGCCGTCACCTGAGTCGCCGAAATGGAGCGAGTGTACAAAGCGACTGGTACTGTGAGCGCGGCGGAAATGCCAACTTACTGAGGCTTTCGTTGGTTTTCTCAAATCGATTTAAATTGGTCGCCACAGCACAAAAGCTGCCCCAAACTTGCAATCGTGCAGTTGCGAGCACAAGTAAGCGGTTCTAAATGATAATCGATAACATTTATGCGACCATTAATGTTATCGTCGCTAATGCAACTGACGCGTTGCTGGTCGCGTTAAGAACCACATTAATGATAACTGTGGTATCAACAGTCGTTCGCAATCGTAAATTAACACGTACGATACCGTTGCTTCGTTCATAACTTAATCAGCCACACTGACAGCCGCGGCGAGTGCTCACAGTACCAGGTGCAAATGCTTTGAGTGCAGCTCTTAGCTTCTAACGGAATGGCTTCTCATCGACTCGTCTCTTGAGTGTTAGACGTTGCGCCGAGCAGCTTTTCCCCCGCGCATGCACGTTGGCATCCGTACCAGGTGGCCTCGTAGTAGTAATTAAAGAAAAGCAGAAGCAGTTGCTCGCTTTTGGAATGAACCTTGGCAGAAGGCCACCACCCGCATGCTGTGCATTGCTGCTTGTATCGCGATGCCCTGTTCTGCATCGGAGCTACGCGCAATGGGCGGGGGCATCTTGTCTCATCGGGTAAGGACCGAGACGGGCGCTGAAGCCGCAGGGCGGGCGGGCGGGTCGGCGGACGAGCGCGGTTCGAGCGCGGTGCAAGCGAAGGAAGCACTTAAGACAAGCCGCGTGCATTTGCATGCAACGAACTCCCTGGGTGGTTTCGCGCACGTCCGCAGCAATTTGAGGCGTAAACGGACGCTCCCTAGAAGGCTCTCCATTTCAAAAGGGAACGTTCAGTGCTTCGAGATCATGGTGGTACATCAAATGGTCGTTTAGATTAAACTGCCGGGTTTTTTTTCCCCCCCCATTTCAAAGAGGGCCTGGATAAACTTGGCCCCCGGAGCGGGCAATCGAGGCCCCGCTGAGGTTAACCAAGGAGCCGAGTCTCCGCACGTGGGTTTGCCGCATGCATTCGTTCGCCACGCGTTTCCCGCGCGGGGTTGGCGTGATTGCGTGCGTGCGTGCGTGCCCCCGCCGTGCCACTCGCACTCGGGGTTGGCATGTCGCGCAAGGACGGGGGATGGCATTCGTGTAACCGCTGCATCATCAGTGCTTCACTGGCTGTGCATGACTGCATGCTGGGAGGCCGTGACTCGAATTTGTTTGGGCCATCTGAGAGGGGAGGCGGTTTCTGCGTAGGGTTTCGTACTCCCGCTGTGTCCACCTCTGCGTTTTCGGGTGGTGCTGCGCATTTTTTCCGGCGCGATGTCCGACGTTTCGTGCCGCGTGCATGCCAGGGAGCTTCTTCAGGAAGCTGTTTCAGGAAGCTCCCAGGCACGGGGAGTGAAATGTCAGACGTCGTGCCGAAACATCACGCGGTACAGCCCGAACACACATCGGAGAACGTGACAAAGGCTAAAGTGGTGCATGTGAAATACATCGAGGCCACGTATGACGCCATTGGGACGTGGGTATATTTACAGTGTTCATTGGAAATGATGTCCCGTAGCGCAGACCAGCTCATGCGGCTTCTTAATTGGGGTGTTTAAATATGCAATAGTGTTCATTGTCATATTACATCGGATAATGACACAAACAAAACGTGTCAAAAATAAGTGCTTAAAATGAGGAAGAAAAAAAATTGCAAAAAATTTTACTCATTTGACCTCTCACATCAAATTATTTTTATACGGGCAAAGAAAATCAAGCAATCGCATTCATCGACGTTTGTGACGAAACCTCGAGAATCATTTTGCGATCTGTCAGTGTTGAGATTTTTAACAACTTGAGATACTTTCTATATTTTTACATCGAATTTTTTTATCGCGAATATGTGCCGTTGACATTTTATACCAGATTTCCTTTTCCTGAAGGTCAGCCCCTTTTCCCCAGACCACAACGAGTGTGGCTGGGCGTTGCTCGCAAAGCCGGCCTCCAATTACCCAGAACGCAACGCTCTCCTTTCTGGAGAGAGAAACACCAGCGAAAGGCGTCGGGTGCAAGTCCTGAAATTCATTCATTACTTTGGGACAAATGCACTTCGGGACTTGCACTCGCTCACCGGCGCTGTCTTATCCTCATCGCTGAGCGTGCGTGACGGCCGTCTGACCTCGTAAGGCTTCGGTCACGACTGCCGATCGTCGTTTGGAAATCTTCAGCCTCTTCTGCCTCTCCCTCCCTCGCGCTGTGCTGCGTTGCACGCCCCGCGGCTTTCAGCGCCAGCTTGTTAATCTCTTGCCGCGGCGCTCCGAACCTGACGCGCTGTCTTGTCTGTCCAATGTCTCTCCTTGACGGCAGTTTCTTGCCGTGCGCCACCACTCCATGCTGACTCTCTCCTCCAGCCACTCCTCCCACGGACGCGCTCTTGGCGTCGCTCGCGAGAGGTAACTCCGCTAACCTCCCCGACGCCCGTCGCTTCTCCTTCCGGCTTACCCCCCCGCCCTCTCCCCGCTAAGTCCCCGAGCTATCGGCTTCCACGTGCGGCTCGGCCGCCGGTCGCGATAACGATGCCGCTGTGCGATCCATGGTTCCCGCGCGGTCGCATCGGCGCGAACGAAACCGAGCTTGCGGCCTTGAGCCGCGGACGAGCGTCGGTGTGCGGCGACCGGAAAGTGGAGCACGCCGATGGCGTCGACTTAATCCCTGCAGGGTGGGCAGCAGGGTCCGGCGCACCAGGGTTCGTGTCCGGCTCGTTGGGTCCTTGCGCCGAAGCGCAGCAACGAGCACGATCGCAGCGATTGGTGGCAGTGACACCAGGCAGCGCTCGTTCACTATCTCGCAGCGGTGGAGGTGAGCCGATGGCTCAGAGAGCAGAGCGATAATCCCACACAGCTTAGAGCCCGGGTTCGAATCCGGGCAGCTTTCCCTGATTAAACTGAGCTCTCCAGGGTAGTGAGTTGATTGTTTCGGGCCGGTCAACAATGACAGAATTTGGCTAAATTCCAGCTGAGAGTAAAAAAAAGATCGCGTTAAGTGTCGTGCGACATCTCTTGGCAGAGTGAGTGGATTAAATGCGTCTCTTACGCTATACAGGATTTACAAAAAAGGCCACTTGAAGGGTTTATTTGGGGAGAAGTCCTGTGAAAGATCTCTTCCGCAGATCACTCTCCGAGACACGGGGGCACGTTGCAAAAAAACGATCCAGCGCCTTATTCATCTCGCGCTACGACGCCAATAGCGCACTTCTCATAAATGATTTCAAACGACCAAAAAACGTCGAGATGGGTGTGGGGGGGGGACTCGAGTCAGCCAACGAAGTGCACACAGGCGTGACGCAGCGAGCTGCCGGCATTTGGCCTTTCTTGCTGCGAGTCTCCTGGGCGACTTCACAATCGTGCAGCCGTCAGCAGCAGGCGGCACCACTCGCAAAGGCACGCGGCGTCAGGGCGGCATGGGGTGTAAGATAAGCCACGGCGCACGCGCGATAAAAAAAAGGCTAAATAAAAGGTCACGTTTCCATTGAACCATGGCACAGTAGGAATTGCAAAGCGGCTTTAAGATGAACACTGGATCATTTTTTTGTATGCGCACAGCTCCCTCTTGAGGCTGTGCACAACCAGACCCTGGGCTTGAGGATCACCAGTGGTTCCAAATTCTCAGTGACTTCTTGTTCTCGGGAATAGCATCTGTTACCACTTGAGTCCGCGAAAAGCCAGAGCTGAAGTTACTCCAAGGCTCCGTTGCTGCCGATGGGACGCGGCGCGCAGTTACGTTGGCTGCCGAGACGGCAAACGGAGCCACAGGCCTGTGATCCGCAACAACCCCAAGTGTTCCAGCGTCGGTTCCGTTTTGGGCAAATTTATTCGAACAAAATGCTACAGTCCGACAGGCCACGTTGTTCATTGCGTCTGAGTGATGCGAGGAACATTTATTGAAGGACGCTTTTAAAATGTTCCGGAGGCCTTCGTGCAGCTGAGCTTTGCGCCGCACGTTTACAGAGAAAGCCATGGCAACACATCGCATGGCACCTTGGCAGCGTTTTTAATTCCTCCACAAGAACATCTTCTACCGTAACTATATTGCCTCCTGTCTTGCCTGAACTATTTCATTCACTTCCGTATATCCCTCAAAATTGCCATCATTAAAACAGGGGCCGTAACCTGCATGAGATTCTCTTTTTCTCTATTCATGAAATGGCAGTTTCACATTTCTTATCGGCCTCATAGCCACTTCGAGTGCCGCCGTATGCTCGCCCGTAAAGTGTGCGACAAATATAACGGTCTCAAATCGTCGCCGGAGAACCTGCGCAGTTTTCAAATCTCTGACCCATTTACTTGGGCCCCTTCCGAGCCGTCCCCGTTGCCTCACCCCTAAACCCCCCACCGGATGTGGAAAAACGTTGCTGGCGCTGCATGTGTCCACGCGTGTTTCACGTGGGATCAGAAACGTGCGGCCGTTATCGCGTGCACGTGTGTGTTGTTCAGTGTTTAGCCCCGATCCTCGTGCCAAAAAGTAGTCTTGGTTTGCAAGCTGCCCGACGCACGGTGAATCGTCTCCGGAGGATAATGGTCTATCGTCCGGAGGCCGAAAAACGTTGTATTCCCGGGCGTTGGGTGAATTCCTCCCGAGGAAACCAGGTGTTGTGACGTGCGAGTAGTCGACGTTGAATAGCGCGGTCGAGCTGCCTTCGCGAGGCAGACCCGATTCTTCCGTGTTGTTTTTATTTTCTTGTTTAGTTCATTTTCGGTGGCTAATATTGTGACGGCTATATAATCCGCTGCTTGGCTTAGAGAAAAGAAGAAAAAAAAGGAAGAAAATTTGTTAAATGGTGCTTTACGAGATGTACCGTCGTCGGTGAATTGAATTGTCGTCGGTAAATAAATAACCCTCTTGGTTGTGAGTGTCGAGGTCAATTCGCGTAACAGATGAGACACCAAACAAAAGGCAAGTCAGTATTCCGCCGTGCTTTCTCTTCCCCGTTATGGGAAGTTTTGGACAAGTGACGTCAATAATGTTGATTTTTAAAAAAAACTAAAAAAAGTGCCTCCTCGATGCCTTCAGTGGAAATAAAAAAACACAGTCGGTCACCGACCATGAAACCACGTAAACGTCCCAATTACGTCTTTTGTGGTCTGTGCCGCGTCCGACGTGTTTTTTTTATTCTAATTCCTAGTCAAATTCCAGCTGTGTCTACCGGAGAATATTCGCTGTTTTAAGCGTAATGTGGCCTGGGGTTAAACGATTGTTGGACTTCTTCAACAAGGGACCTTGACACAGCATTCGATACCAAGAGGGTTGATCGTGCATGTAGTACATGCTAAGGCACTCCCTAATGGTGCGATATACGTATGAACCTTGTGCTGAAATGTTCTGTGCCTGCTGACAGTAATAAACTAACGGGGCATGGCTTGGTAGCAGCTTGGCATACGCACACCTTGAGGGCAGCGCGAGTTGCCCGCGGCAGATTCATCATCATTCAGGACTAACGCTGACTTGCAATGCATGGCTGTTGATTTCGCTTTGAACAAAAACAAAACTAAATAAGCACATTGTTAATCGTGGCTAGCAGCCCATTCAGGAACTCCAGTCGCTGGCATGAGCAATTCCCCCCGAAATACGCTCGTCTAATTAACAAGCACTAACCGTAACAAACGGCGAACGAGAACTAACCGCATTAAAAAAAAAAAGCAGCGCTGACCCGCACGCCACCCTGGCTCTTCAGCTGTTGCGCGCATGACGTTTTTTTTTTTGCCCGACCGTAAGTGCCGGTGGGGAGGAAGCCCTGACGCTCACGTCTGACGGCCGTAACTGTTCTCCCTCGTCTCGACAGCGCTAGCTCGTCCCGCCAAGCCAAGACGCACTCGGGTCACGTGCCGCCGGAGCCGTCGCCGCTCGGCGCAACAAACTCGGGCCTAGCCAGGCCGCCGCCGCCGTCGCTCTCCGGGACTCACTCGGAGCCTCGCACCAGGCCCTAGGCCTTGCGCATAAACCTAGGGCTTGGGCCTACGATTGTGCAACCGCAGGCGGCGTGCGCGCGCCCTCACAATCGCACCGGCTGGGATCCGCCCGCCGACAACTATTTAAAGTTGAACCTTATGGCGGGACCCCGGGGTTCCCATAAGCCCCCGGCTCTCGCATAAACTGCGTTACGACGTCATTTTATGCCTGTTGAAAGCGAACGATACGGCAGTCTATTCCTCTCGACGAGCTCTACACGATGCGCTAATCAAAGTTTCACAGTTTTGTTTCTTCTGCGCATTCGTCCTCGCTGCTGCGCTTGGACGACACGACAACGGAATGGTCCGTGCCAGGCGGGTCACGGCGTTCATGTGCGCGGTGGGACGGAGTCACCAATTTTTTTAAATTAATTACGATTTTGACTTCCGTTTATTCGGGAACCCGGGGTTCCGCCATAAGGTTCAAATGTATACAGCGTCCAAATGTGACTGCACCGAGTCTTCCGTCCGTTTAAAAAGGCAACAGCCCTCGCTCTGCCTCCACTTCAGCAAACGTTGAAATTTTCCCGCGACGAGAAGGCGTCATAGAGATATTGTGCTGCGTTTACATGATTAGCAGCTTTAGAAGTGGTATTGATAAATTCAGGTTATTTTCTCTTTACATTTAGAAATACGAAAAAAAGAATTACTTGGTCTACTCAGTCAAAAGTAGACATTAACAGTTACAATGAGCACATCGATGATCCAGGATACTTAACATAACGCTTGTATTTGTTACTTCAGTTTTTAACACTCGTTAAATTAAATATCAGTTAGGGGGCAGTTAATACAGAGATTCATGTATGTATTATGCGCAATAACAATTTATTAAGTACATTATCACTGTCGTTTTTGGCCAGTTAGAAGCCAAATATTTTTGGTCACAAAATAATCTTGGTTTTAGATATTCAGGACCATCAATGCCTATTGCTAATGCAGGAGGCACTTCAGCATACGAATTGAACACTAGATAAAAGTCTCACAAAGTCTAATAAGCGGATGTTATTTCATCAACAGGATCATAACGCTATCGACCAAAGACTACGGCAATGGAGGCAACTTTGAGTCGAGAAACAAAACCCAGGTTTCCAAATTCAATTTCAATCGGGGCTCACGCAAGGCCTCAGGCTTTTCATGAACTTGCAGATAGTTCTATTTGATTTCCATTTTCGGTCAAACGCCGGTTTGGTTGGAACCTCTGAACAGACAGAGAGAGAGCGGTGAAAACAGCCATGCACTCTCAGCCAGCAATTTACGCACTGAAATTTATTTTCGCTTTCCGTCCGAAGCAAACGTGCCCCTCAGGTGTCCGGCTTACGTCCTGCTTGCCACCTTGAGCTGCGTCTATTTCCGCGAGAAACATTTCGATTATTTTATTTATCCCTCCGCTGTTGGCGTTTTACCCGATGTTGTGTTATTGTTTGTTTGTTTGTTCCCCCCCCCCCCACCCGCCTTTGCGTGCCGCTTTATCTTACGTTTAAAAACAACAACCGGCATTGTTTTCTCCCTCTTTACAGGTACCTTGGCATTGAATTAGGGTAGTCGTTCATCTTGGCCGTAGCGACCCTTGCGTGTGTGTGCGGGGTGCGTGTTGTAGCGAGGTGTGTTTCACAGGCGATACCCCCGTGACGTGGACACCGATTTGGTTCGTCGCCCACTTTGTTTTTCAAATTAAACAAAACCTCTCGTTTTGTACGATCGTGATCCAGGATTGCACACCCGACGGCAAAAGTATTACCCCGCGTGTTGTTTTCTACGTTGCGTTTGAACAGTCATTTAATGCAGACTTTCACGTATTTTAAAGTGTTACGAAACAAAAAAATATGCAAAGTTGCGCAGTTTCAGCATTCTTTGTATTGCGGTGATTTTTTTAAAGATACGAACAAAAAAAAGAATACGGATAGCGTGCGTTTTCAATTGCACAAAGAGAAAAACTAACTTTTTCTATCGTGGGCAATGCATACCCTTCTGTTAAATTGGTTCCAAATTGGAATGTTTGAAGTGCCACTGCCCATCGCAGTGATCGTCAGATTTTACCTGCATGCAGAGTAACGAGAGAAATAATTCTGACAACGTTTGAAACTTCGTTTTTCTTTGACACCAGTTGTGCCTTGTTTATATATTTCAATCACTTTAGCGGTCTTGCCACTTTCTATTTCAAAACAATTTGCACCTGCTCGCAGATGCGTGTACTCATTTTTGTTGTTGGTATTTTAAATATTTATTTTATTGTTTTATAATTACGGTTTTCTTTACCGACTTTTTAATGTCCTTAACGAAAGTAGACTACAGCTTACTGTAAAAAAAATATAAACATTGTTTTCCTAAAAATCTCTTGCAAAACAGAGGCCTGTGTTTTAGTTGACATACAGCTCGCAATTTGGTAAAGGCCAAACAGAAATTTGCAAAAACAGGTATGCTGTTTGAAGCATAGTCCTTGGATATTAATAGCTGTTACAACATTTTTTTAAAGTGTATAAATACGCGTAATTATGATGGCAAACTTGAACCCATCGTATCGCGCTTTAAGAAAGCTTCAAGCGCAGCAATGTTCCGTTTGACCTCCGTCGTGTTCGTTTGTGCTTGTGTTGCTGAAATGGAAAAGTCGTTGAGTGTTTCACTCTCCCGTCGCTGCTCGAGTACGTCTTGGGCAGCGGCCGTCCGTTTTTTTATTTTCCAATCAAAAGAAACTATCATCTTCACGCCATGCAAAGCAAAACTTTATTTAAACGTTACAAAAGAATAAAGCGTAAAGAAGAAAAAAAAATATCATATATTAAAAAGAATATGATTAACCAAACCATTTTTGCGATATTTATTGTTATAAAAAAAAATTAAGAAATACTACTACTTTTGTTTACAATTTTAAAAACGAAAACCTAAAAAAAAAAAAATCCGATTTGGAAAAGTTGTTGGGAGTTTTATCACGGGATGGGGCTTCCATGAAAATCGTTGCCTCGTTGCTGGCACATCTCGGGACGATGAGCCCTTTGCAGTGCACGCGCGCAACAGAACCACCGTCACCCTCATAGGCTGTGCAATGCTATCACCAATGCTAGACAACGTGTGTGCGATTTGTTATGGCACGTAGATGCACATTGCTCGTAGGCGGCAATGTCTTGAGCCCAGGGAAATGCACGGAAGGACCAAAAGTACAATTACAATGCAATGGATGTGGAAATGATTTATATGTCTCTCTCTATTTTCATATATTTACGAAGAAACGTTGACAAACCGTAAATAATTCAACTTTATACAAACTAAAAGAGAGGAGTAATTAAAAAAAAACTCACAATGATCATCATTAATGCCGCTTTATAACAGACTGGTTTATTTGGCAATGGCACTTTCTTTAAAGCCGAGAGAGAGAGAGAATACAAAGAGATGTATTGATTTATAGTTGATTGACTTGTAGACTTATAGTTGGAGATCACATTTTACACCGTGGGGGGGCCCTGCTGTGAAAACTGGGAAATGTTTTAAGAAAGTTCTTGTTGACATGTTGAGCAGTTTTCTACCAGTAGACACTTGAGTATCAAATGCACCATCGGGGCATCAAAACCGAATTGTATATTTCAAGCAAAAATTGTCAAATTTCATCGTAACCACTGGGCATCGTGGAAATAACCAGTTGGCTGTGCAGTACCACCGATAGGTATTGTGAACTGGCTAATGTGGGGGCGAACTTACACCGAGCTAACAGATCCATTGGCATTTGACGGAACCGAAAAAAAACAACCTAATTTCACCACAAAATGTCAAAAGCTTTCCCAGTTTACCAGATGCCCACTGCCACCAGCGGGTTGCTTTTGCCCCCTCCGCTGTCGAAGTAAATAATTCCTGCGTAAGTTATCGCCTCTGAAGCCTTCCGTGGATTTCGCTGGCTTTTTTTTGCCAACGTGTGTGCTGTAACGACATAAGATAGAGGAATATTGTGTAGCAAATTGTCTTGCATTGAAGTGTCCGTATATACACAGCATGCACGGTGTGTGGCGCGGTCGTGCCCTCCAACGGATGCGACGTACCCGTCATTGAATTGGTACAAACCGGTCCTGTTCTGGCATTGATTGGCTATTGAAAATAAACATTTAAACTTCACCCCCTGCTTCTGGCCGTTGTGTTCGCCGAGCGAATCGTCACACCCTCGCCTAACCGCGTGTCTGTGTTTTTTTTTCCCCCGGGAAAGTGGCAATGTGAAGGCCACTTCTAAATTCAGGAGGAAACCAAACTTTGGTGCTTCTCACGAGAAGACATATTTATCATCCTCGTCAGCCAGGATCTGTCCACTGCTGAATGAAGCCCCCCCCCCCCCCCCCGAGATGTCGCCATTTCTCATGTCCACGTGATCGATGCAACGATCCATATAGCACCTGCACACGAGCTGATTTCAATGCTCCATCTCCATGGTGGTCTTCCTCTTGGGTGTTTCCCTACTTTGGCTTCCACTCCGTCATTAGTCTCAACCATCGGCTGTCATTCCTTCTCGTGACATGCTCAAGAATAGCCCTGTGAATTTTTTTTAAACAGTCGATTGAAATCTTCTTGGTTCTTTCGGTAAAGTCACGTAGATGGGAAATAATAAAATAATAAAAAGAAAACATTATAAAATACAATTCTCACGACGTTTCGGCTACAACGCAAGTAGCCGTCCTCAGGTGAAGAACAGGTCTGTCGGAAAGACAGCGTCTGAATGAGCACCACCATGCTTGGCAGCGTATATTTAAGCTGGGTTGGAGGGGGCAGGGCACCTTGACAAAGGAATTTACATATCAAGAGGAATTTAGCATATTTATGGGAAATGATTGAAACTTGTCTATTCTGCATGTTTTTTGATCCATGTGTTCCTCATTCTCTCTCAAAGTGGATTTCCAAGCACGTAACCTGTACGTGCTACTTTGCAGATTGTTCTACTTTTGTTCAAATTTCCTTGTCAGTTTCGTTGTGTCTAATTCATGTCATTGCATGCAATCTACATTGATTTAATAACTTCTTAAAGCACGGATCAAAGACGAATCGTCATTATGTACAGCCCTTTGTCAATCCACTGCTGGATGATGGTCTCCCCACGCCATGTCGGCCATCAGGTTTTATTGGAACATACTTCACCACGCTGCTCGGTGCAAGTTGGTGTGACGGGGTGATGCTCAGGATCGCTTCAAATATCACTCGCCACTCATGATAGTCCTGGCTGGGAATCAAACTCATTGGGTGCATCGCACGCAGTACACTAACCAAATTCATGGGGAGGAATGAATCATTGCACCCTGACTGAAAACAGATGTTGGGTTGTTGTTTTTTACACTAAAACCTCTTCGGCTCCCTTCAGAGGCAGATTGAGATGGGGGGGGGCACAGTCAGAAAATGTCAAGGTGTTTAAAAGTGAGCTCCAGAATCAAAAATAAAAATCGCTCAGTGTATTGTCTCTGGTAAGTATTAAATATATTTATTTAATAAGTATTAAATATAACATACATTTTTGGGGTCTCAAGGAGCAAAGGGGGGGAGCTGATGATTGCCTCCGCCATGCCTTCATCCGCCGCTGTCTCCTATTTGCTATGGAACAATTTTTTTACCACAGTTCGAAAGCAATTGCAGCTGCGCACGTGTGCGCACGCGATACGCGCGAGGTGGCTTCCTAAAAAAAAACCGATGCAGTGCCATGAACAAATCCAGATCTGGGCCCCCACTGCTCTGACCTTTCGGCCACCGAGCTATCGGTGGTGGAAGTCTTCAGCGGGCACGTGACCGGCTCGAGATGCGTCGGATTCCACCGCACGCGGCACAGCGATAGCTCCAGACACTGACCGAAATAGCCATGCTAGGAGCACCTGTAGTAGAGTTACCCACTCGATATTCACAAACAGGGAGAGCTAATCGTTGACAAGGGTTTCCCGCTCAAACTAACGGTCAGGGTCTCACAAGTTGTGAGAGCTGACCGTAAACAAGGTTTTCCCGCGCGACCTAACGGTCAGGGTCAGATAGGGTAAATTGGGATCGAAAAGCAGATTGGGAACGACCAATCACAGGGTTCCACAAGGTGGCCGGGGATTGGACAACCCGGCCACGAACGAGTATAAAGCCAGAACGCTCAGAGCTCTCGGGGAGTTCGACGACACGAAGACCCAAGACGGCGGAAGAAGCATAGGACCCTGGACCAAGCCCTCCAGCCCTTATAAGGGCTAGGGTTCAGAGTAACCAGTGGTCAGGGAGACATCTCCCTAGGTCCAGTCAGAGGACACTGAAGGAGCGGGGTATGAGTAGCCTGTAGGCTTGTACGTTCGGAGTGTAACGGGTGAGGGGACCGTATACCCCTCAGTGCATAGGGACTGTATTCACAAATAAAGTGTGTGCTACTAAAAGACGTTGAAGAGTCTGTCTGTACAATACTACACACCCATGGCCGAGTCCTGTTCAGGATTATCCCGTCGCTTCGATGGATGAGTGTTCAGCTATTTGTTGGCTTGAACTTTGGCCTCTACTTTTGTTTTGCTTCTAAAGTGGGAGATGAGTCCTATCCTGGACTCACAAATGTGGCAGCGCATCTGGCGAGTGTAGTAGCCGTTGAGGGTCTGGAAGGTTTAAAGCACCAGCCTTGCGGCGACACGCGATTTACTCCTGCAGAGAGCTCGCGCGCGCCACTCAACATTGGGCACAGCGTCGCGTGGGGAGCACCCGGCTCAGTAGAGGCATCTCAATGAGTGGCTTTGGCTTCTGCAAAGAACTGCAACACCACTTACTTCGTATTGTGGCTTTAGTCGATCTAGAAACTTGCCAGAGGGGTGGGGGGGGGGGCAATCCTGAAATCTCAATCTTTTAAAATGCAGCCCTACATTAATAGTAATGAAACGTATAGAATGCATTTTCTCTTATAAATATCGATAAAATCCCAGTTTCGTGATGCAGTATCTCAAGCATCGATCCTGAAGTCGTCCACGTCGCTCACCAACCTGGACATCAACTCCCACCACCGATCATCGCACGACGGGAACGCCGGAATACACGAACGCACGAAGACCATGCTTCAAGCCACGCTGGGATCCCATGGTGGCCATTGTGCCCGAAGGGCCCTGCCCGACTGTCGGCAAGAGAGAGTGGGCTCACGTCGTGTCGCCTAATTGCTGCTATCATCAATTAACGCGCTTCCAGTTCGATTACACTGGTCAAAAAAAAAAAAACATTTTTTTCTGGCCTGGACTTTTGCAGCTGTTTTAGACTAATTTCAGGGTGCCGATTCCAAATCTGATCTCAGATTTGCTCGATCACATCATTTTTATGCTATTGGCATACCCCATTTTCATTGATTTTACCCGAAATTAACTCTGTCACTTATGATTGCAAATTGTTGCGAGTCAGTGACTGCTTTAGTGTTAAAATATGGTGCTGTATTTTTAGGATAGTGTGTTTATAATATAATTTAATGTAGATATCCACATTTATTTAATCTTTTTCTTCTGCAGTTTTTATTGAAAGTGCAATATTTGATATCTCAAAAACCTGATGTGATAGACAAAAACTGATGCCAGATTTGGAATCAGCACCCCAAAATTACCTTAGAAAACCGTTGGAATACCTTATGCCAGAAAAAGTGTGTTGCCCAGTGAATTATCGGAATAAGTGTCGATTTTAATGAGGGGTGCAGCGGCGGTCGTAGAGGTTAGCGATCAGCACTCTTTAAACTGGCGATCCCGCAGGTGTTCATCAAGCAGCAAAGATAGAGAGGGATGTGAATTAAAATAATTTTTATCGGATGAAGGTTGTTTTGAAAATCGACACGACGGATAAACAACGTCGTATACGGTCTTCCCCCAGAAAAAAATCAATACACCGTATTCCGCTCGCGAACGGGATGGTAATATAAATGTACATTCACGTCCAAACAAATGCCCTTTGGACGCAGTGAATTAACTTTGGATAGAAATATGCTACCCGTGACAGATTCTATTTGATCACAGTTATAATCGGGACGCTGCCGCTGTGAAATCAATGCTTACAACGCGATATTCAGCGTCAGTCGTGGGTTGATGCAAGAGAATGCAATTCTGTTAGTGGAAAATGTGTAAGTGGTACGTTGAATACAAATAATGTATACGTTTTGATTCAAGGATGTTTATAATGAATATCATATTATTGGAAACACAGTATGGAAACAGGCTTTGGGTGTTGCTGTTGTTGTATGTGTGTGTGTTACTGTGACGCTACTGGGCAGTTGGGGGCAGTCGCCCTCCAACAACAACGGAGGGCGAAGGAGCGACGCTCACAACAACGAGCGGAGCGCCGGGTGGCTAAAGCGCAGCAAGTTGGCACAGTAGGGGGCACAGGTGGTGCATCAGCCAGTCATCTCGGTCATCTCAGTCAGTCGACCCGTGGCATCTAGGTCTGCCCCGTGACCTCCTGCCAGCGGGCGTTCGACACTTCACGTGGCCTCAAGGTGCACTTGGCCTGGCACAAGCGTCGTGTTGACGTCACCGCCACTTTGTGGCGAATGGCGGTTGTTGTTGTGTGTGTTTAATCATGGTTCCTTAGCACAGGCCCCAAAGGCCCGCATTGCCAAGCAGCCAGGATCAAAATAGCACCGTTGAAGGTGTAACGGATACGCGTTAATTGCATTTCTTTCATTGAACAGCGTTTGTAAGAACTGAGCAGGGGCGGTTTGTTCATTAGGGCGATTGGGCGACGCACCACCAATGTCATTGAACCACAGAGTCACGCTAGCCGTCACTGCAGCCTCTGGATATAGTCCAATCAGCGTCATGTCACGTTCTGTGGAGTACCGCCTCTTTTTGGGCGATTTCACTCCGGCTGAGAATCGCCCCGAGTGGCCCCATAGACTTACATTCAAAGATGTTTTTTTTCGAACGGCGGGCGCTCCAATGCATTCTCTATGGCTTCCGGGAGGGCTCGCCCTAACGTGCTTACGTCATCATACGTGCTTATGTCATCATACGTAAGCACGTTTCATCCAACAATATAATTTGTGGCCACCTAGTGGAATCTTTAATAAAATATACTTGAGTGGTTTGTTTTAATAGTGAGTATAGAAACAAACAAGATGTATTGTAAGAGTCACTTTATTTTTCATTAATATTAAAGAAGTGAAG